TACTGCCGAGCATGCTGGGGACCCCCCCTCATGCTTCCATGGGACACTCCATCCACCCCAGCATCTCAGCATTTACGAGCCACCTGGTACCTTGAGGTATGTAGAAAAACAATTTAAAGCTGTGCCTATGTACGAATCATCGAATCTCTCTGAATCTCCCTGAACTGATTCAGACGGTTCTGATTTGATTCGGAGAGATTAAAGTTTATCCTGATTCAACTCGGATTTGGAGATTCGGCCTCCGAATTGGGCCGAAACTCCACTGAATCGAATCAGTGACTGAAGTTTCACACAGCCCTAAAGGATACACCTTTTTAAAAGTTTGTCTAATTAAACTGTCCTCCCAAAAATTAGTTTAATGGAAAATTAGGCTGTGAAACTCCAATCTGGTCTGCCTCACTTCAGGACTTACTCCAGCCAGGACTCCATGAAATAGCCACCTTAGAGTTGTTGTCAGGGGGTGGGGGGGAGGAGGCAGGGGGGAGAGTGTTTGTTTTTGTGCTGTTTTTTGTTTTGTTTTGTTTTATTTTATTTTTTTGCCTGAACAGAATTGGAAAATATAAGTTTTGGCTTCAAACATATGGCTTAAACATATTTCATCATCTCTCTTTTTTCTGAGTAAAAACTCCTGCCTTTTCTGTTGCTAATTGTGATTTTTTGTTGTTTTTTTCTGTGGGATTTTTTGTTTAACTAAGAAAAGGTACAGCTGTAACAGCAGATGGAATTCTTCTGTGATTCAAATATCTTGCTTCGACAGTCCATTAAACCTTGAAGTCAATTTTGCATGTGTGTTTATAACCATTAACTTAAGATGACTACCCTGCCTTTGGAGTCTCTTCTGAAGCTGGGGAGCTTAGACTAGGAATAAGAATCATCTGTACATTTGACCATATTAGATAATTTTCACTCAAGTTTTAAATTGCATTTCATTTTACATGAGGGGATTCTGAGAAGTCCAATGAACTACACCACCACCTGTGAAGTGCTCCATTGTTACTGGTAAGAGTGAAATGAATGGGAAATATTGTCAACTGTAGACACCTTCAACCACAAGGAAGAAAATGTTATTTCTTTGAGACAATTTATCTACTCATATGTTATATTGAAAGAGTTTGGACAAGAAGTTAATTGAATTACCTTTTTTCAGTTTCCAACCTTTATTCACAACTTTGTTTAGACCTGTAATTTAACCAAATGTTTTGGGACAGAAATGCTGCAGTTACCTCTCCCTCCCATGCACACTTTACTTTCACAATAGTCTTGTGAGGTATAAAATATGACTTGGTTGAAATCCTGTTCATTGCCTATAGCGCAGCCAGACTTCCATCAACTCTCTCCCCAACTACCCAAAATCAAAAGCAAATGCAAAGCAATAGAGGTAATGATTCCCTAGTAAGCACCCCTTATCACCCAGCTGTACTGCAGTTAAGGTGTATGCCTAGAGCTTCCTGTAGGTTATAGTTAGGGACCTACTGAAACTGCAGTTTTGTGGATTTCATAGCCATTGCAAAATGTCATTGCCTGAGAAAGTGGACTATGTCCTTAAAATCCATGAAATCTGTGGGGGAAAAAAGAAAGACAGCTTACTGAAAATAAACTGCTAGTGCCCCAGAGTGAGCCAGCAGTCTTCATAGTGCTGCAGCCCAGTGGTGCAGCCCATTGGATAGAAGGAGGAAGAGGGCTGTCCACATGAAGAACAGCCTAAGATGGCTGCCAGCCCTGCCCCTCATTGCTGAATAGCTGAAAGAGCTGCCTCTCATGTGGCCCTGCCCCTCTCTACCAATCAATGGTGAGGGATGGATTGACATGATGGGCAGCCCTCACAACCAGAGGTGAGGGGGCAGAGCTGCATGACGGACAGCACTTGCAGCCAGTCAGAGATGATGGGTAAGGTAAACAGGGCCCCTCAGCCAATCAGAGGCATGGAGGGTCCCCACTGTAATCAGCCTATAAATATGACAGCTACCCCTCCCTCCCCTCCCCCCTGACCTCTCTGTGAAATTGGCTTGCCACTTCCTCCAGTTAGTTATAGTGCATCAAGGGACAATACTGTGGAGGAACATCTGCAGCTATTGGCACTTTGTGTTCTAATACACAAGTGATTCTAGGCAATGCTGTGTTTATGAAAAGTTAAGGAGAAGTGCTAAAATGAATCATAGATGCAAGCTTTCTTTAAGTGGGCAAAAGAGGCACTTTGTATTGAGATGATAATACTCAAACAAGGTTCTATAGGACCTGCTAGGACCTAGCATGTGACTTTCTGGCACCTAGCTCTCCATGCATCTGAAGACACTGTTCCAAAACTTAACATTCTCTTCTTGCATGTTTATCATTAGAATACAAATGTTGAACTGAACATAATGGATCACCATTAACTTATTTAGTGTGAGATTCTACCTTGGGGCCACAACCAACAACATTAGGCATCACCTTTATTGTTGCAGCATGTAAATGAATACCTATCACTTTTTAGAATAAATGAATGTCAGCCCCTTACAAAGAGAACCTATTAGCTTATTTTAGGTATGACACAGTAAGTGAAGGCAACAGACTGTCTGAAGTTTCCAAAAAACTTACCCTGCATATACTAAAAAAAAAAATCTGACTTCTAGAAGAGCCTCATCATGCATAAGGAATTGAGTGACTGAACTTTAGAATACTAGTATATATAAGCAGCTTTATTTGTATTATCTAGGTGTTAAAATGTGCTACTCACTTCCATATTTTCAACAAATGTTATATAATATTTACAACAAATTAAATTTGACTCCCAAATGCAACAGCACTACAGAGTTCCCAAACTGGTACTAGAGCTCCTAGGTATAATAATAATAATAATAATAATGTTAATAATAATAATAATAATGTGTTTTTGGCAATCAACAAAAAATCATGTTGTGAAATAAGCTGAATTCTACATTCAAGAAAACAAGAATACTTGATGACAATTTCTGAACAGAAAGAATGAGAATTTGTCAAATAGCTGTCATGACTTAACCATCTCATTTCTATATGAAGAATAAGCAAGATTCTCATCAGAAGCCAATTTGACCATGGGTCAAACAATTGTTCTGAGCAAAAAAGAATTTCTCAGCCCACAACCTCTTTTTCCCACCTCCAATATATATAAAAGCCTTAAAGAAGTGGATGTCAGTTGTCAGATGTAACCAAAGATGGATTGCCCCTCCGTTTTTCCCCAAATGGCTGGTGCTAGAAAGGGGTACCCATTAATTTCCTCATGAATCAATACATAAAAATATAAAAACAAATACAAAATAGAGCTATTCAGGGCATTGAAAACTGTTGCAGAATGCAGTTACAGGATCTTTAAAATGACTTCTAGCACAATGCATTTTGTTACACTTATAGATGTACTCAGACCCCAAGGATGGCTGCAACACCCCCTGCTGGTCAAGCAGCCTCTTCTCCACTCTAGGTCCTTGGGGTTCCCTTTCTTTTTAACCTTTCCTGCCACACCTTGATGCACCTTACGGAGTATAGGGAGGGTCCTGAAATGAGCCTCAAATCCTCAACCAGCCATTCTCAGTCTTGCCCCCTATGGTACTACACTGTGGCCCTCTTAGCCCTGTCAGTGCATCGGGGCACCAGCCAACTTATGGTCTCACAGCTTCATGTATTCTTGGCCTCCATCCTTCCCTGTAGAAGGTCACTGCCTATGCCTCACGGATAGTTCTTGATCATTTTGAGTGACCCCTTCAGATCCCCAGGGTACCAGACTCAGGCAAGGCTGCTTGCATACCACTTAGTCTCCTGGGTCCATGTCCCAGGCTAGGTTGTTCTCGTGCCACTCAGCCTCTTTATGGTCTCTGACCCCTACAGGGCTCTACTCTGGGTGCCTCTTAGGTGTACCCGTGGCTCCATGCCACCCCTCTAGCCACAGGTGATAGAAGGCCAGGGTTAACCGCCCCTCCTAAATTTTTTGCAGTGGCCAGTGACAGCAGCAGCACCACAGAGGTGCCCTCCCACAGTGCCTGGTGTGGCACAGCATGCAGCTGCTCCTTTACCCCTACACACAGCACCAATGTGTGCCAGTCCGCAATGGCCCTGCAGGTGGGAGGGTCAGGAGTCAGGTGTGGGTCTGCCCCCCTGCAATATTTTCCCCCACCACTTATGCCTCTAGCCACAATGCACTCCTCCTCTGGTATCAACTTAAGTGCAAAGCAAATACAAGCAAACTCTTTCAAACAACCCCCTGCCCCCACCAATCTGGCTTTATACCATGTGGCAAACCCTATTTCTCTTTTGGCTTTCACTTCCCAGTTTTTATGGACACATTGGGTGTGTGACAGGCTTTTTCTTTCATCCCCTCCATCTCCAGAGCTCCACTCCCTGCACAATACAGGCCTAAACTTCCAGCCTTGCTCCTGGTACTGGGCTTATATGCCCTGGAGCACTTCCCCTTGTGGTCAGGTGACTTCCTAATTAAGCACAGGGGGGTTGCCTTGGGTTTCATGGTCAGTCTGCCCTTCCCTGGTACTGCTTTACCCAGCTGCTTGCAGCCTTTTCTTTCAGGGTGTCTGGGACTCTGCCCTGTTGCAGTGCAGCTGCCAGCCTACTGCAAGGTTAGCCTACTGCACTGTCCTTTAATGTAACAGGATCCTCTGGCTCCCCGTTACAATATATATTAAGCCAAGAGTGTATATTGCTATGTTGTTGCAAATCCGTCTAAATACTTTCCACAGTAATTTCCTAACAGCTTCCTAGAAAATCACATTAACTGTGTCTATCAGAAATTAGCATAATATATTCTGTTTCCTTAAATCATTTCACTGACTAACTATACATGCAAAAACATATATATTTGTTGTGTTTTCTTTTTCTTTTCTTTTTTCATAAAGTGTATGCTTCTTCCTCTCCAACTAAGAAAATTATTTCACTGCTATTTCAATCTTTTCTGAATGGCTTTCAACAAAACAATAAAGGGATAAGATTAACCTATGTGATATTTAGCCCAGTTAAACAAATGCAGATATTCTTACCTTTTCCAGTTTGGATAGAGCAAGAGAGTAGCAGTCTTTGGCTCTGAACTGCATGAATCTCATATTGGCTGGGTGAGTTAATTCGGTGATAATGCTTAGACTTGAAAACAACCTATATTTTAAAGAAATGTTACAGTTACACCTCTAAAGATCACAATTTGCTCTTATAAGATCTGCATAAAGCTGTACTATATGTGCACCTCAATATCTATAATTAAGTCAATGAAAATTCTAGCTTTTGGCAAAAGAAAACATAACTGTAATAGCAGAGAATGCTGCAGAAAACCTATTCCGCAGATACAGAGAGAAACAAGTGTCATATTTGCAAAAGTGGAGCTTGTAGAACATTTTAACAGAGTAAAGAAAATGTGTTATAATTGTTTGAGCTTTTAGTGTGACCCAAATCTATACAACCCCTCCTCCCCCAAACAGTTTTAAGATTGAAGCACCTTCATTAGAAGGCCATAAATGGCCACTACATTTACAAAAAAAGGTTTTACAAGTTGATTTTTTTTCTATACTTACATGCTATGTAAATGTGTCTGCAGACTGTACTGATTGATAGTAAGTATCAAAGTACTTATTAATGTACAAGCGAAATTGATTAAAAAGCAGTGATGTAAATCAATGAGTCAATCAAATGGGCCCTAAAATTATGTTTTGAAATATTTACATGCCTAAAATGTGAATAAATTTGAGAAGTGTGTTGCATTGACATCATTTCAGTAGCAGCTGCCTAACTGTTAAATTTATTAATAACCTTTAATGTCATGTGCCAAAAATAGAGTAGCTAGGGACATAGTCATGCCTCAGAATGTTCAAGGGCAATTTTTAAGAGGTGCGGTTCAAAACTGCACTGGGCCAGGAGAGATCTGCCTGAACACAGACTTGGGCATATTACAATCTCAACTAGAAGCACAGTAAGGGAGCTCCATGCCCAGGGCAGCTGTAATGGATGGGGCAGTGCCAGCTATGCAGCACTGATGGTAGAGGCAGGCAGCTGCCACTCCTATAGTCACCATTTTTGCACACACACCCCTTCCCATTAAGGTAGTATCTGGAACTGCTGCCCTGGTCAGCCTCCCCATCTCAGTTCCACTACTGATCACAACTAATGAAGGTCCCTATGCCTTATTATAGTGTAACTATGTAAGACCAACACTAAGTCTTCCAGGTAGTCATGTGGTAAACGGGCAAACCACAAAACCATCTGTGTAGCTGGGTTTTTGGGTCTGACTCAATGGAGTTGCAAAGTGTCTAGAACTGTGAACTGTGAATGAATTTAGTAATGAATCATGGAACTAAACATAACTAGGTTTGCTCTAAGGCTTCTAGGTTAAATATAATAGCAAACACAGAAAGCAAACCAGGCAGACTGCAGACAGTTCACAAGTCAGTTTGCAGGTCAGTTTGCCACCCCCTTTCTTTGAGGGAGAGCCTGTAAGGTGAGATTTTTTCTCTCTCGCTCTTTTATATATGTAATTAAGACTAAGTAACCTATATAGTTTTATTTTAAGCAGCTAAAACTCCTGGTATTGTGTCATTGCACCATATTTCCAGGGTCATTATTAAAGATTAATACTTAAGCCCCTTGTTTAACTAGAGTCCAGAATGAGGGGAGTTTGCTAGGGAGTTTGCTTGGAAGCTCTCTCCTTCACTGTAAGCTTGCTGAGAGGAAAGAGCTTTGCAGGGAAAAGCAAACCCTTCAAGATCAAGGTCAGCAAACAGGCCAACTACAGAGGAGTTTGCTAGGGAAGGATGGCTTGGAAAGAGATGCAGAAAGTGAGAGGCAGCAAATTAGAAGACCCAGAGAGATGGTTGAAGGATGTCACAATCCCAGATTCACTGCCACTGCCACTTCCAGCTCTTCCTCTGCTTGCCACTGCCATGAAGAGGAAGCAATGGATGGTGGTGGTTGGAGATTCCCTTCTTCCGCGGATGGAGAGTAGGGCTGTGCAAAGCTTGGGATCGCGATTTGGATCTGGAGATGATTCAGATGATTTGGAGGCCAAATCTATGAATCTGAATTGAATCACTAGAAGCTTTAGGCTTCCCAAATTGATTTAGAGCTTCCGAATAGATTCAGAAAAGATTTGGGAAAGATTCAGCGATTCGGAGATTCGGCCATAGGGTATAATGGGGAATCAATTAAACATCTATATCTTTGTTGTTTTTTGTCTGTTTCAGATGAACCTTGCAAGAATGGTAGCTGCTGTGCAGTGCACAAAGCCTGCCAAGTTTCAAGGTGATGGATGCAGGGATTTCTGGGAAACTGCAGCTCAAATCCTGAAAGCAAAACTCACTTCACATGTGTGTGTTAAGCCACAGCAAGGTGAAAGTTGCAGGGGTGGTAGCCCTTGCTGAAGCCACAAATCCTGCCAAGTTTCAAGGATATAGGTGTAGGGGTTTCTGGGAAACTGTACCTCAAACTGCTGACAAGTGAAAGTCATGACATGGGTGACACTGTGTATGTGTTAAGGCGCAGGGGGGTGAAAACTGCAGGGGGAGTCTGGGTTCTGGGGCCCTGCACCTCTGGCCACAGGCAGGCAAAACTTGAACATCAGACTCCCCAGGTATCTCTGCACTTTTACCTGGATGGGGGAGGCCCTGGATGTTTGGAAAAGGGCAAATATAGTGCCTATGTTTAAGAAAGTGAAGGAGGATCCAGGGAGATACAGAACAGTCAGCCTCACCTCAGTCCCTGGAAAAATCATGGAGCAGGTGCTCAAGGAATACATTTTAATCACTTGGAGGAGAAGAAAGTGATCAGGACCAGTCATCATGGATTCACCAATGGCAAGTTATGCTTGCACAACGTGATTGCCTTCTTTGATGACATGACTGGCTTTTTGGATGCAGGAAAAGCAGTGGACATGATATACCTTGACTTTAGCAAAGGTTTTGATATGGTCTCCCACAGCATTCTTGTAAGCAAGCTGAAGAATTAAGGGTTGGATGAATGGACTGTATGGTGGATACAAAGCTGGTTTTTGTCAGGCTTGTCAGGCTCAGTGGGTAGTGATCAATAGCTCAATCTCTAGTTGGAAGGTGGTAACAAGTGGAGTGCCCCAGGTGGCAGTCCTGGGGCTGGTTCTGTTCAATATCTTCATTAGCGATCTGGAAGATGGGATGGAATGTACCCTCAGCAAGTTCACAACTGACACCAAGCTCGGGGGGGGGGTTAGTAGATACACTGGAGGGTAGGGCTAGGATTCAGAGTTACCTAGACAAATTGGAGAATTGAACCAAAAGAAATCTTATGAGGTTCAACAAGGATAAGTGCAATGTCTTACATTAAGGACAGAACAATCCTGTGAACTGCTACAGGCTTGGGACCAACTGGCTAAGCAGCAGCTCTGCAGAAAAGGACCTGGGGCTACAGTGGATAATAAGCTGAACATAAGCCAACAGTGTACCTTTGGTGCCAAGAAGGCTAACAGCATACTGGCCTGCATTAGTAGGAGTATTGCCAGCAGATTGAGGGAAGTAGTTATTCCTCCCTGTTGTGCACTAGTGAGGCCACATCTGGAGTACTGTGTCCAGTTTTGGGTCCCCCAATACAGAGAGGATGTGGACAAGTTGTAGAGAGTCTGGGGGCAGGGGGGGCAGCAAAAATGGTGACAAGGCCGGGGAACATGACTTATGAGGAGAGGTTAAGGGAACCGGTCTTATTTATTTTGCAGAAGAGAAGACTGATGGGGGATTTGATGCCAGCCTCCAACTACCTAAAAGGTAGTTCTAAAGAGGATGGAGCTAGATTGTCCTCAGTACTGCCAGATGACAGAAGAAGATGCAATAGCCTCAAGTTATAGTAATGGAAGTTTAAGTTGGATATTAGGAAGAACTTAAGTGTGATTACCTAGGGAAGTGGTGGAATCTTCAACCTTAGAGGTTTTTAAGGCCTCATTCAACAAAGCCCTGGCTGGAATGATCTAGTAGGGAGGGGATGATCCTTCTTTGAGCAGGGGATTGAACTAGATGACCTCCTGAGGTTCCTTTCAACCTTAATTTTCTATGATTCTATGATAACAGTGAAATGGCTCTTTAAAAACTGGAACTTCTGAAAATGAGGCTTTGATTGCCCATATTTAGTAAATAACTGTACATTAATTTTAATAGAAATTAACTTTCCAGACTCTTAGTTTGATAGTGAATTGTTCATTGCTTCCTTTTTTTCTCTACAATAAAAGAGAACTGTAACACTATGATTCATTATTCAAACCCACTATTGCAATCACCTAGAAGATCTGATGCATTAGGATAAAAGTCTGCTCTAGTTTTGGCTTCTACAATCCAGCTAACAACCATCATATGCACTTGTAGCCTGATTTTTAGAAGTGAATACTTAGAAGTCCCACTGAAGCCAGTCACTGGAAGCTATGAGTACTCGATTACTAAAAAAATTAGACATCTAGTGCTGAACAACTGGCTAGTTTCATAACATAAAGCAAGAATGATGCACAGCCGTGTTCTGATGCTAGGATTCTTAATTCTGCCCTTTTGATGAAAGCTATAAAATGGCTGCTCTTCAGTCTTTCCTTAACAGTGCAGTGCACATTCTAGAGTAAATGGGCAAGCAGGCATATTCTCTGGGTTGTCATATTATATGCAAAGGAAAATCAATATCAATATCTAAGAGAATGAGCCATCTCTATAAACCACCAGATGCTCAATTGCACTCTAGTTGTTGAGGTGTCCCATAAAAATAAGTGAAAAATGTGATGCTTTATTTCAGTACCCAGTGATATTTTAAAAGGAACTCAGAATACAGGACTGAAGACTGAAAAGAAAACTGGGTTTTTGTGTAATAAGACTATTTCTAGAGGGAAAAGAACTAGAATAAGAGAAAATGCATTTTTGATGCTTGCTACGAAGTGTAGAGTGAAGAAAATTGTCATAATCCTGGCTAGTCTGTAGATGATTTATACAGTGCTTAAATGTGCAAATCAGACACACTAAGGGTTGTTTTCTAATTCAATATTTTATTATTATTATTCAAGCTTTATCCTAAGAACTAGATTTTATTTTAATTTTTCTTATAATATTCTGTACTCTTCAGTATGCCACACCAAAGAAAAGTCTTTCACTGTTTCTAAACTTCCTGTTTTTGTT